AGTTGAAATGTCATTTTACAATGGGATTAAAACTTTAATAGAAAAAAATGCATTAGAGAACCAAATTACAAAAATTCACAGATGTTATTGACTCAATTTATATGCGAAAATTCTACTCTCAGCAAGAGAGATCCTCAGGGGAAAAGACATCATGTTCAACTGATTGTATGCAGTTGACTATGCATTATAGCTAATGGGACCTTTACAGAAATTGGAGGATCAGGCATTGCATAGAGTTGATACAGCAATAAACCTCAACAACTTGCATTTATATAGCGCCTTTCACGCTGGGTAGAGTCTTTGAGCACTTATGAAGAATGGTCATCATTAAAAACAAACATGTTGGGGAGAAATAGAAGAGAGTCTTGAGAAGGCTTAATGGGAAACTTAAGAGCAGAAGACCGTCAAAGCAATTCATAGAAATAAATGAACCAAGGAACTGGATAGGATATTAAGAGATACAAAAAAAGGTGAGGAAATGGAATTAGACTGTTTCCGTAGACTTAATGCCATAGGAAGCTCAATTGGCCAAATGGCTAATTTGTTTTCCAAAGTTAAAAGAGGCTTTGCTGCTGTGATGGGGGGATGGTAAGGTGGGTATCCTGGAAGGATTAAATTTAATTGGATGGGCTGAAGGGTCTTCTTCACCTGAACTAATCTTGTGATCATGTCAAGTTCCTAAGAAACATTTTTTAACCTCATCTTTGAGTCTAGCATTTCGAAGCTCTTTTTAGAAACACTAGACTCAAAGATGAAATGCTGGGACTTCAGAATAGAGAACACCCTGGGGAGCCCAATTTGCTATTTTATGATTTCCAGTTCTCAAATAAAATGAGTTGGGTTCAAGAAGTGATACAGATGACTCAATGAGGTTTTGCAAAATACCCAACCTTAAAAGTCACAAGAGAGTATCTGAACTGCATTTTCTTGGTGGGTAGCGCTTATTTGTCGCTCTTAAACTCTTTGGAGGAATAACTCTAAAAATGCTAATATATGAAGGGAAGAGAATAAAAAGCCACCACAGTCCTGCTTGTAATCAAAAAGCTGTTGATCTGAGAAAACCAGAGATTTCCCTAGCTAGCTGACCCAGTTTGTGATGGCCATTTGAAACTCACAGTTCAACAGAGAAAATGAGAGATGTCCCCAGTTAACAGAGGTAATTATCAGAGGTGTGTTATTAAGTCACCAGGTACCTTGCCAGGTAAGGTGATGGATTCTCCTAATTAGGTCCCAATACACAAAGTAGAGCTACAAAAATATGATTCCTCATAATTATTTTCACATTTATATTCCAATTGCTGTAACAGTGCTGAAAAAAATAGGGGAAACACTGTGAAAGAAACACAACAGATCCAATTATGCTGGTTGCTCATAACCTTCCTCCTCACAAAGATTAAACAAGTGTCCTATTTAGGTTTAATATTTAGTGTAATTCATCTTTGTCTTAGTGTACACTGCTTGCTAACATACAGTACTACTCTTTTGCTTATGCTGTCAGCCTGGCTCAGTTGGTACCACTTTGCCTCTGAGTCAGAAGGGTGTGAGCTCATAGTGTAATCTGCTTGGGGTGGGCACATGTACTGCATTTTTGGAGGTGCCGTCCTATGAATAAGACATTTAACTGAGATCCCAGGTGTCTGTTCAAGTGTCATTAAAGCTCCCATGGCCCTATTTGAAAACGGAAGGGAATATTCCTGGTATCCTACCCACATAAATTGTCATTCACTTCATGGCTGTTTAGCACGACATTTCTCTGTGCAAATTGGCTGCTGAATTGTTCCAAAAAATACATAGTCACCCAGTTCACAGTAAATCTTGTGAAGCACTTTGAAATGTTTTGATATTCTGATAAGGCGTTATATCAAATGCTGGGATTATTATTATTGGCTTGGTCACTGAAGACAGACAAATGCTTACTGGTCTGAGTTTCTTGTTGCTTCTGTTATCCTCTTCATTCACTCAATTTTACCTTTCAAGTGCTCTTCAGTGTGAAGTGTAACACCTTTCTCTGCCGTGGACACTGCTGCGTGCCTCTTGAATGTTAGTCCCAGAATATTAAAAATTTAATCTGGTCATTTTTCTTTCCTTCAGCAGCACAGTATGATATCAAAGCAAAAATATTTTAATATATTCAGCCTTTCAATTCACAGTTAAAAGGGAAAGAACGTGAATTATTACGACACCTTACCATGTCGAAATGTCTCCAAGCACTTAACAAGTAATCACTGTTTTTATTGGCAAACAGGGCATCCATTTGTGCCAGGAAGCTCCCACGCACAGCACTGAGGAGAAAGTTACTATTAAAATTTAAAACCCTGTTCTAGCTGCTGGGAATGAATTTCTCGGGCCCTTTGCTAAGTAAAAAAAAAAGTACGGGAGCAAGTTTAATTGTCAAAACCCTGAGGGAGAAAACATTCTCAGAAGTCAGGATGTTTAGGGTATGCGGATTTAATGGTTAGTCCAGTGGCAAAAGTCAAAACCATGAACAATAATCCACTGTTGACATGAGAAATGGCCACCATTTGTCTCTGTTGATTCCTTCTTGAAATTCATAGCTGGAAATGCAGAGAGACATTTTGAAATTCATCAGTTGTTGCTATTGCTGACCAATATTTCTGGATGAGTAATGGGTTTAGAAACTAATATCATTATTGAACTGATTTAGGAAGCATCCAATATTTGTTGTGCTCTCCAATTTGTCTGTAGCATCCAGTTAAATTCCTATCCTGTCTTCTATTCCTATCTCTCTCACCCTCTCCACTTTGTTGCCGCTAATGGTTTCTCCTCCAGCCCCCGCACTGTCACGTCTGGCATCCCCCAGGGCTCTGTCCTTGGCCCTCTCCTCTTTAATATCTACATGCTCCCCCTTGGTGACGTCATTCGCAGACATGGGGTAACTTCCAAATGTATGTGGATGACACCCAACTCTATCTTTCTGCCCCCACCCTCAACTCCAGGACCACTGCTGTCCTGACAGACTGTCTGTCGGACATCAAGTCCTGGATGAGGGCAAATTTCCTACAGTTGAATGTGAACAAGACTGAGGCCCTCCTGATTGGCTCGCGCCAGCGCCTCTGCACCTCAGGCTCTGGTAGCATCAACCTCTATGGTTGCACACTTCAACTCACCGCCAGTCAGGAGCCTCGGTGTCTTGTTCGACCCTCAACTATCTTTTCTTCCCCACATCCAAGCCATGACCCGCTCTACCTTCCCTCACCTCCGTAACATCGCCCGACTCCGCCGCGACTTCACCCCTCAGGCCGCTGAAACTCTTGTTCATGCCTTCATCATCTCCAAGCTCGACTATGCAAACACCCTGCTTGTCAGCCTTCTCAAATCCTACCTCCGCAAGCTGTCAGTCTACCCCCAACCTCTGGAATTCCATCCCGCAATCACTCTGCTGTACACTGTCCAACGCCTTGGGACGTCCTCCCGACGTGAAAGGCGCTATACAAATGTAATCCTGTTGTTGTTGTTGTAAATGCAGTATATTGTATTTCCTTAAGAATAAATAGGTTCAATGGAGGAGCTAGCACCCCATAGGATGGATGGATTGAAAACCTTCCTTTTGTGTTGAAATTTCTATGATTTGATTCCATGATCTGAATGCAGAATCAATGAGAAAACTGCAGTATAATCGTTGGGTTGAAAGCATATTCATGTAGCTTTTATTATGAAATATCCATCCACTTGTTATCTTAATAGGAAACAGATTATGCAATAGAGACATAAACTTCCAGATTTCTACATCTACGCACATGCAATATAATTTATATTTAAATAGCACCTTTCACTTTGGGAGGATGTCTCAAAGCAGTTCAACGTACCATCAAAAGAGGCGAAAAAATAAAACCTCCTTATTACAAACCCCAAATGGGTTCTCTTATCAGGAGTGCCTGTGACTGAGTGTTAAGCGTTTATTGGAACTGGTTAAAATAAGAGGATTGTAACAACCATCTGAAAGAAAGTTACACTGCATTTCTTCATACACTTGTCTCACTAGATAGGACAAAAACAATTGTCTTTCTTAAAACCACCCCATAAACCCAGGGAGATTCTGTTCAAGTCAAAAAATCTGGGTTCTAGAATTTCTTTTTACTCGTTCAGAAAGAGAACAAAACAGTGGAGAACGTCACAGCTTTCCAGGAGCACGGCGCAACAGCAGAATGCCAGGCTTTTATTTTGAAGGTGGGTTTACAGCATAGAAAACTTTGATAATTTCATACTTTCCATTTGCTTGCCCTTTCGATTTGTTTTACACAGCTTGAAACACTGGGAAACATTCTTAACTGTTCATAAAAAAATGTATTTCCATTGCTGATAGAAGTATTGTGGTGTGCGTAAGGAACTCGTTAACATTGATGGCTGAGTGATGCTGCTATAATGCAGAACAGTTGTGTGCCTCAGACAGTCTCAACATTTCTCTCTTGAGCAACTGGATCCAACCAAAGTGTAACTGCAGATTCTACATAGTTCACGTAGTTTGCTTACTTCAAGGGCAACAACCCATACTTTTCAAGTAGGATGAAGACATCAACATGTCTTCACAATGATGAGGAGTAGCAACAGGGAGGAAAAGAAAGAGAGTTTGAGGGCGTTGACTAAATACGCGGTCAAAGAGATTGTTGCAAGATTTTAAGACAAATCCTTATAGTCTTATATTGCACTTACATTGTGTGGAATTGTGCTAAGGACCAAAAGAAATATATTTTAATTAATTGTGATGAAATTACAAATGATTGCATCTTCAAACACAGTAATTGATGAGATTCCCTAAAGAGCATCTGAAATACTATCACTAATTAAAAAAAAAATATTTGGTCACTCAATCCGCGACTCTTGGTGGGACATTGTTCCAGTGCTCAGTTTCGCACCCAAAATATTCAGTCAATTCACTTTACAGTATATTCTGTGAAGCGCTTTGAGACTATCTCAAGAACGTGATAAGGCGCTAAATCAAATTCAAGGATTATTTTAATATTATTATTACTAGTTCCTACCTGTCTGCCATCACCTCTCCAAAGTCCATTGACTGTTTGTGTTGGAGCAATAGTAACCACAGGTGGAGTATTTGCCACTCTCTGATTTCCGGAGGGAACTATTATTGTTCCTGGAGCCCTCTTGGGTGTGCCCGTGGGAGAACCGTGGTTAGTTACTGGCGATGAAACAGGGGAATGTTCATTGCCGCGGGAACATCCTGAAAATAAAGAGAATAAAAATAATCATGACACGGTTATATAGATCATGCAGTTTTTAATAATCAGTTGCTCGCAGCACCCCCCACCCCTCCACCCCCATCCCACTCTCAGATGCTCATCTTTATTTAAGGGGGAAAAAGATCATAAAAGAAGCAACATCAACAACCTGGTCAGACTTTTCTCCCTAGTATTAAACATACATTGACAATATCCACTACCATTAACAAATGAATATATATATACATACACACACACACGCACCACTTCATGTGAGCAAGAAAGATTTTTTAAAATAATTTTTTGCTCTTCTCTTCTTTCCTGAAGTATTCTCTTTCCCCTCTACCCGCTTGCTCTTCCAATATATCACATTCTCTAGCAGTTTTCCAGTTATCATTTCTGCTACATAGTATGACTCTTTGTGGCTCATTATTGTGCACCAAATGCCTTGTTCACCTACAAAATAGTCACTACACTAAGCAGTAAATCCTGTGAAGCGCTTTTACATGTCCTTCTGAAATGAAAAGTGGTACATCAAATGGAAGGATTATTATTACACTTGTTCGATCCCATCATATGGTAATGATTCTCAAGCTCAAAAGATGAATATCTGAAACTGAAGAGAGTTTAGAGGACAGGTGAGTGGCAATGTTCAAGCACAATCCTTGTAATCTATTATTTACTTGATCCTTTCAACACTGCAGATCACCCACCATTTGTCAGTCCAATTCTCAGTTTTATCTATGTCAGCCTGTACTGTTTTTAGTGTTGCTTGTCTTTCAGATTGAGTATTAACTGCTCTTAATATTGCCACCAACAGAGAATAGTGTCACTAAATGACATGCAGCAAGTCCAGCATTCATGTCAAGCAATGCTTTATTGAGTGCCTTCAAGTTATCAGCAGGGTTGGTTACTTCCTGAACTCTATGCAAAAGGAATGGGCATGCAGTCCAAGTTGGCTCAATGTCTGATTCCCTCTTCTTCCTTTGGCAAAGCACTTAAATTCCATTAGGTTGTTTCCAGACCCTTGTATCTTGCATGGAGAAGATATGGCACATTTTGCTAGCACATCACTGAGCTGTTACCATGGGATACTCTTGTTTATCCTTATGCATGAAGGATAATTGCTGATGAGGTTGGAGGTTATCCAGGGGGCATAGAGGTTACAAGTACCACAAGCTTCACTATCTATAAGCACTTTGAGCAACAGAGAATAAATCAACAACCATGGCTCTTTTTGCAAAGACCTTCCTTGTTGTTGTGATGCGTCCAACATGAATTAGTCGAGCATGTGGTGCACTACGAATACTGGCTACGAAGCTTGGGGAGCAGATAATGGTGGGGCTGCTCTTATCTGTCAATATCATTTTACACATATTTTGGTGATAATTATTTCTAATTTTTCTGCAATTGCAATGTAATTGCGTTGTTTATATGTACACTTGAACCACTGAATGACATACAGATGTGAAGCATTACTGCCTGCTCAAAAAAAAGATAGCATGCAAACAGGAATACAAGATAATGCTGTCCAGAAGGCATATTGCTGAAAACTAAATGTACTGTAGGATTGTGCCAGAGTTAAGTACATCTCTGGAGACCCAATCAAATTCATTCCAGGAGCAGCTCATGCAGGTTAACTCTCCTGGAGGCTTTTCAAGGTCTAGAAATGAAATAAAAGTGGGGTTTCGGCATCTTCATTCTAATCACAATGAATATAGATCTACATGGCATGACTGTTTCAATTCAGCACTTGTCTGGTTTGACCCGGTGACTGTATTTCAGGTCTCTGAATAGAAGGAGATTCAAATAAATAAAAAAGAGCTGTCCTAGTGAAACCCAAAGAAAAGCAGCCACCAGCAACAATAAGAAGTTCTGAGGCAGTAAGGTCTCTTAATGGTTTGGAATTTATATGCCGTGAGCTTCTCCACGACACCAGGTTTCTTTCACATATAGTGTTCCAATATTTTGTCATCAGGTGGAATGAGCATTCATTTATGCATTCATAAAATGTGTTGCATGTATTGGACAGTTACTGGCTTTACATGACCGTCCATTATTATTATTATTATTATTATTATTTTTTACAATGCAAGGATTTATCTAATTACACTTATTTAATTAAATTGATTTAAAATGCAAGGATTATTGTTATTCTTATACTATTTGTTACATGTTGTAATTGAAAGTTGATAATATTTCAGCTTGGAATCTNAAAAAAATATATTCTAAGAAAATCCATTTGGATTTGGCTTTTCAACAGCTTAAAGAAAATATGAACTTAAAAACTAAAACATTGCTTTGCCTCATTCTTCTGAAGAGTTCATTATTAATTCACAATTGTTTCACAATTACTTTTATTTTCCATGGCCAAGTGAGAGTCTCCATCATAGAATCATAGAATTTTACAGCACAGAAGGAGGCCATTCGGCACATCGTGTCTTTGCCGGTTCTTTGTAAAGAGCTATCCAATTCAATCCCACTTCCCCGCTCTCTTCCCATAGCCCTGCAAACTTGTCCTCCCCAAATAATTATCTAATCCATTATCTATCCATGTTTGATTCAAAAGCCAAGCCCAAAATGAATTAAAACCACGTATTGACTGTTCACAATAGCAACAAACTCTTGAGCCAGAAGTACCCTTCTGCCAGAAGCTTTTTTTTTTGGGTCAGCTGTGTGTCTGACACATGTGGAAACCCATTACCATGCTTAAGAGTATCCAAACCAAACTGAGAATTCCATGCTTCCCACCTACACGTGGAAATGCCAGAGACAAATTGTTGGAATGGTATGCGCACTCTCTCTCGGGAGGAACACATCCTGCTTACCTAATTCTGGAATTAGGTAAGCAGGTTGAAAAGAGCTGAAGCCTGGGGTCCCCAGAGTGTGTGTTGGGGTACTTCTGAAGTCTGAACAGCTAAGACCGCACAAATTGCCATTAATATTGTTGTCTGGCAAGCTTTTTCGCTGCTTGTCCAACTAGAACCACACTACACATTAGGGCTTTGGCTTGCAGAGTTAACAGGAGCTGAGTGGTATGACTCCTTGCCCCTAGTGACTATTCTCCTCTTCCAAGTCCTGACGATGAGCTGTGCTGTCATCAACAGTGCCCAGGAATACTGCGGACCCGCCTGGCTCAGGAACCGGACTGCAGAGACCGCCACAGAGGGCCTGGCTTGATTCTGACATTCCACTGCCAGGCTCGTCACCTTGGAGGCAGTTCAGCTCCAAGGAAACCCTGCTTACCTCCCCCAAGTAGGATAATCACAGAAGCGATTCTTTTGGTGTTAAGAGTGACACAAATGCAATTTAGTCCTACATGGTTTGTTTTATTCTTGTGAGCCAACTATTTCCACCAATTTATACTTGTGTAAAGAAAGGGGGATGAAGTCGAGTTTGCATTATAATGGTGGCCAGCTTGTCCATTGATTGGCACTACTACATTACAACTCAACATTGCATTGACTAAGAGGTTAAGTAAAATGTGCACATTAGCAGATACAGACTCTTGAGGCACAAATAGACAATTCTGAAACCAAAAGGTGTATAAGACTCAGCGGAGACTACAGAAACGAAATATATGGGCCAACACATATTAATAGTTCAACTGCTCTATTGCAATGTACTGTGATATAGTGCACACTTAGTTACACCTAGCTTGATTGACTGCATCGTATAAAGGTGCCTGGTGTTTTCCTGGAACCGAGGCATACTTTAACAAATACTTTGTTTTAACAACTTGGGTCAAGGTCAGCTCATGTAAACATAATCACAAGAGGTTTTGTGCAGTGTGCAAGGTTGCCTGCCAAGTAAACTGTAAAGGAAACCTAAAATAGATGCTTCCCCAGTTTTCTGATCTGAACACAGGGTAATAAATTAACGCTCAGGACTAGGCCTCCTGTCTAAACAAAAAAGAGAGAAAGGAATCATTTGGCAATGACACATTGTGGGATTTGAGCACATTCCCAGCAGCTCAAGCTCTCAATCTGGTAGCTAGGTTGAGTGAGTTATTTCTGTAATAAAGTTTGCTGTTAAAGCGTTCCCTATTAGACTCACAAATCCGTTTGAGCTCTGTAGGGACTCTGCACAGTAAAAAATGTACAGAAAGCATTTACAGCTGGCAGTATCAGCAGATTTTCTTTTTCAAAAACTGTACCCTGCTTCCCAGTAAAATGAGCGGGTGCAACATGCTTCATACCTTTTGGCATCACATAGCATGTATAAAAACATAACACAATATAATGCAACAATAATGTCAGCATTGTTCATTGATATGTTTCACCCTATGGCTGTTTGTGGGACATTGCTGTGCGGTACTGGCTGCCACGTTTTGCCCCAAAATACCCAGTCAAACCACTTCATAGTATATCCTGTGAGGCTTTGAGACATCTCAACAACGTGATAAGGGCTATGTCAAGTGCAAGGATTATTATGTTTCAGCTTGCTTTTAGTGCCCTAAGAATGACATTAATTATACACTCGATCTGTTCAACTGATTTTTGGAAACAGCCTTAGTGCATTTTATGCACTCAAAAGCAAGGCTGTCAACAGTACGAATACAACACTTTTCATCCAGGTAGAAGATGGAAAGTTGCAGAGTAACATTTTCTCCTTTCTGTCATAAGGATGTACTTCACCCAATTTGAGAGAAGCATACCCTATACCATCACTCTGATATTTATTTTTTCCCAAACACCACAACACAGCTTCTGTGCATGAGACTGCCAATTTACAGACAATTTTATATTGGGGGCTTCTGCAAGCTAGGAGCTGGATTGAAACTGCCCAAATTAATTTCACACAGGTTCCTAAAACCATAAGACACATGAAGAGTCTTTCATCCTAGCAGTCTGGGCTACATTTGATCGAAGGTCGCAGAAGTGTAAGCACAGTATATCAATCTATGTTACCAACCTTTCCTATACTACTGAAACAAATTTGACAGCTACATATAATATCTCCTGTTCCTTGGTTTTAGTCTGAACTTGGTGAATTCACTTCA